TAGGAAATCACTGTCAAAATTGTCCTGTGGTGGACAATTGTTAGGTGATTACTGTGATTGTAATTAGCACAACCTTGGTAGGTTGTACATTCCTTAATACACTTTATTATCACCATCTGTATTAGTCTACTTTGGCAGCCATAACAAAATACCACAGACCATGTGGCTTGAACAATAGAAATGTATTTTTGACAGTCCTGGCGGCTGTAAAGTCCAAGAACAAGGTTCTTGCAGAATTCAATTTCTGGTGAGGGCATTCTTCCTGGCTCGCAGGTGGCTTCCTTCTGGTTATGTCCTTACATAGCTTTTCCTAGGTGCATATGCTTGGAGAGAGTTAAAAAAATGAACTCTCCAATGTCTCTACTTATAAGGATACTAATCCTGTCTGATCAGGGCCCTACCTTTAAGACCTTATCTCCAAATACAGCCACAGTGAGAGTTAGGGCTTCAACGTGAGAATTTGGGGAATACATAAACATTTAGACCAGCAAATCAAAACTACAATGAGATATCTCACCCCAGTTAAAATGACTTATATTCAAAAGACAGGCAGTGACAAATGCTGATGAGGGTGTAGAGAAAAGGAAACCCTCATACGCTATTAGTGGGAATGTCAATTAGTACAACCACTATGGAGAACAGTTTGGAGCTTTCTCAACAAACTAAAAAGAGATCTACCATATGATCCAGCAATCCCACTGCAGGGTATATACCCCAGATAAAGGAAATCAGTATATCAAAGAGGTATCTGCACTTCTGTGTTCGTTGCAACATTCTTTTTTTTTTTTTTTTTAAGTATTTTTATTTTATTTTTTTGACAGAGTCTTGCTCTGTCACCCAGGCTGGAGTGCAGTGGCACGATCTCAGCTCACTGCAACCTCTGCTGCCCAGGTTCAAGCGATTCTCCTGCCTTGGCCTCCCGAGTAGCTGGGGTTACAGGCGCATGCCACCACACCCGGCTAATTTTTGTGTTTTTCATAGAGATGGGATTTCAGCATCTTGGCCAGGCCAGTCTTGAACTCCTGACCTCATGATCCACCCATCTCGGCTTCCCAAAGTGCTGGGATTATAGGCATGAGCCACTGTGCCAGCCTCAACATTCTTTACAATAGCTAAGATTTGGAAGCAACTTCAGTGTCCATCAACAGATGAATGGATAAAGTAAATGTGGTACTTATACACAATGGAGTACTATTTAGCCATAAAAAAGAATAGAACCAGTCATTTGCAACAACATGAATGGAACTGGAGATCATTATGTTAAGAAATAAGCCAGGCACAGAAAGACAAACATTGCATGTTCTCACTTATTTGTGGGATTTAAAAATCAAAACAATTGAGCTCATGAACATACAGAGTAGAAGGATGTTACCATAGGCTGGGAAGGGTAGTAGCGGGCTTGGTGGGGAGGTAAGGATGGTTAATGGGTAAAAACAAAATGGAACGAATAAATAAGACCTACTATTTGAAAGCACAACAGAGTGACTATAGTCAATAATAACTTAATCTTATATTTTAAAATCACCTAAAGAGTGTAATTGGATTGTTTGTAATTCAAAGGAAAGACGCTTGAGGGGGATGTGGTTATTTCACATTGCATGCCTGTATTAACACATCTCATATACCCCATAAATATATATATCTACTATGTACTCACAAAAAATAAAAGTAAAAGTATTTTTTTAAAAAACCACTTAGTCCATACCACCATCCAACAATAAGCAAGAAGTCAGGAAATCCCTAGGCTTGTCAAGGAGCTAGGTTTCCTGCTACACTTGGATGTCAATGGCTAATGTCTTTGCCACTTAAAGAATAGTTGGGAGGGTGGCTGTCAAGCAGTCACGAAACCTAAAAGCTAGCTAGTGCTGCATTTTCAATTTGTTTGAATTATAAATGAATTAATTGTCGAAGACAAAGAGCATAACCAGTAGAAGCCTCCTCCTTACAAATTTGCTTGAACTCCCAAAAGATATGTTTAATGGCAATGTAACCAATGGGGAAATTCTCTGTCATAAACCATCTGTTTTGAACATGAGTCATCTATACAGCAAATTGGGGTATTGACAAAGGAAGCTTCACAGTGTCCAGCTTTACTGCCCCTGCACTTCAACCTGCTATGGTGGCTAAAATCATTATTTTAGAATTGAAAAGTTTTTCTAGAAAGCTGGTCATTTCTATTTATACTGGGACTCAAAGCTACCTAAGGAGCCCAGGATGCCTCATCTCAGCTTGGAAATTCTAGAATTAATTATGTGTTTGAGGATGAATTAAGTGTTAAATTCAATTCCAGAAAGCACACAACCATTTTTGTGCTCATATGTATTAGGCTGAGGCAAACTTACCCAGTGTTGGCAGTTGGTTTAGTGGTTTAATAATTTGAGCTAGATAAAGAAAAAGGGAGTTGTTTGAGACAAGAAAGATGGCTCTTCTCAAAAGTAAAAGACATCTGGACTGATAAGAGGGCAACTGAAAGTGGAGCTAAAGATAACCAAGAGAAACTGATCATAAATTTGCCTCAAGGTTCAGACAGGGGGTCATGCCGTTGAATTATAGACAGGGGTCATGGTGGCAGCTTTAGAACTTGTGTCCTGATTCTGATGCCTATAGGCAGCCTCCATCATCATGCACCCATCTCCAAACATTGGGAGGTTGAATATGCATATATGAAAAGAATTGCCCAGTATAAACATGTATTATAGGTTACATACAATTCATGGGACTATGAAGTCCCTGAGAAGTAGCTCAGCCTATGTCCCATATCACAGGCTCCTGCCTTAACTGTGTTATGTCAAATGGCCAATAAAACTCTTGCAACAGCATAAAAGTTTTTTTTTTTTTTTGAGACAGTCTCGCTCTGTCACCCAGGCTGGAGTGCAGTGGCACGATCTCAGCTCACTGCAAGCTCTGCCTCCCAGGTTCACACCATTCTCCTGCCTCAGCCTCCCAAGTAGCTGGGACTACAGGCACCTGCCACCACACTTGGCTAAGTTTTGTATTTTTAGTAGAGACAGGGTTTCACCATGTTAGAAGGGATGGTCTCGATCTCCTGACCTCGTGATCCACCTTCCTTGGCCTCCCAAAGTGCTAGGATTTCAGGCGTGAGCCACTGCGCCCGGCTGCACAGCATAAAAGTTTTAATTTTTACATTTCCTTATGATCCTAGGGAGGCCAGGCCTTCCTGGAGAGGGTATTCCAGGTTATGAGTTCATGCAAAGTAAGAGATGTAAGAGATACACTTGAGTCTCTCTCTCTCTCTCTGTGTAAGTATGTGTGTGGTGTGTATAAGTGTGTGTGTATATATATACACATATACACACACATATATAAAATATATATATAGGACTCAAAAAACATTGGCTGGTGAGCTAATATATGTTTACCCTTATGATCCAGGCATTCTAGCTGGTTGTTGAGGGATGTAGACCTGGAGCAGATATATCATGGTGTGGTGAGAGAAGAGATGAGAGGAGAGGGCCATGCATCATATTCCATTGATTCTGAGTAGGTCTTTTGCTATACTTACAGTCTGACTTCAAAACTAGAACTGATTTCCCTTAAGTCTTAGCCTGTGAAATGAGCTCATATTATGAAGAATTGCTCAATAAACTTAAAGAAGTATACCATACAATTATATGGTTTATATCGAGTATGATAATCATTTCTGCCACTTGTACCACTAAGCAGTCAGGGTTAGGAATCCTATATTGAGTTCTTCCATGTGCCAGACCTTGTTCTAGATCAGGATTTTTCAGCCTTGGCGCTGTTTCTGTTTGGGGTTGGATAGTTCTTTGTTGTTAGGGGCTGCCCTGGGCATTGAAGGATGCTTAGTAGCATCCCTGGCCTTTACCCACTAAATGGTAGAAGCATAGCCCCCTCCCCCAGTTGTGACAACCCAGGTGTCTCCAGACGTTGCTGGATGTCCTCGGGGAGCAAAACTGCCCCTGGTTGAGAACCAGCATTCTAGATACATGACATGTGGCATGACATGTGGTGTATGCAAAAAGCATGAACTGCAGAGTCACATTCTTGTCTTCATTTCTTCATTCATTTTATTTAACTAATTAATTTTTTTGAGACAGTCTCACTTTGTCACCCAGGCTGGAGTACAGTGGCATGATCTCAGCTCACTGCAACCTCTGCCTCCTGGGCTCAGAGGCTCCTCCCACCTCAGCCTTCTGAGTAGCTGGGACTACAGGGCCATGCCACCACGCCTGGCTAATTTTTGTATTTTCAGTAGAGACAGGGTTTCTTCATGTTGCCCAGGCTGGTCTCAGACTCCCAGACTCAAGCAATCTGCCCACCTCAGCCTCCCAAAGTGCTGGGCCTATGGCCCAGCTGAGCCACCACGCTCAACTCATTCATTTTATTTATTGAGCCTTTGCAACACGCCATGAACTGTACTAGGTGATGGGGATACAAAGATGAATAAGGCATGGTTTTTGCCTTAAGTAGAAGACTCTAGTAATGGAGAAGAACTCATACATAGCTAAATTACCAATCAATGTGGTAAATGTAACAAAATAGACATGGTAACAGGCTTGGGTGGAGAGTTCCTAACCCAGCTGGGCAGTAGAAGCTGGAGGCATCAAGGAAAGCTTTCCTGAGTTGCCTGGCCTGAACTGAGCCTTAGATAAGTGGGTGGAGGAGGTGAGGACACTGAAGCAGAGGTGTAATTCAGTGAAGCAGAGTTAACGTTGAAGCATAAGGTAAGACACAGGTGAAAAAGCCTGGTGTGTGTTGAGTGTTGGGAAGGGAACATTAAAAGTCTGCAGAGGTAGACAGGTGACCTTGTCTGGCGTTCTGAGAGTTTATACTTTATTCTAAGAGGTGGGGAGCCATTGAGAGGCTTCAAGTAAGGAACTGGTTTTTGTTTAAACCGGTTGTTTTGACAACCTCTACCTGCTGGACTCAAGGGATCCTCCCACCTCAGCCTCCCAAGTAGCTGGGACTACAGGTATGTGCCACCATGCCTAGCTAATTTTGGTAATTTTTTTTTGTAGAGATGGGGTTTCACCATGTTGCCCAGGCTGCCATGCAGAGAACGGACTAAAGGAGCACAAGAGTAAAAGCAGGGAGACAATTTAGAAGGCCAAGAGGTAATGAGGGCTTGAACTAGGGCAGTGGGAAATAGGGGACAGGATTTGGGAAATATTTCAGAGATAAAACAGTATGATTTAGTGACTCTTTTGATACAGGAGATGAGGAAGAGGGGGAGGGTTCAAGGATGATTACCTCTCACAGTTGGGGTGCCACCATCATTGCCTATCCTATAGGAAATATATAGTGAGGGTAATTATTGTATTATGCTATTATATTAACTTATTTATCCCCACTTTGCAAATGATAAAATTGAGGCTCAAAGGAGAAAGTTGCTTAGCCCAAAGTCACACAGCTATCGAGTAGAGAAGCCAGGATTTGAGATCTATTTGATTATCTGACTTCCAGCCTATCATACTATGTGGCTTTGGCTAAGTATGGATTAAAGTGGTGAAAATGAATCATTCAGAAAGTAGTCGACTTGGTTACTGTTGGCCTTTATGCTTGGCAGGTACTCAGTATTTGTTGAAGAAAGGAATGATTTTAATGACAATTATATCATTTTCATGTATTTCAAATTAGAATCCATGAGGGGAAAAATAAATAGCTTATCCAATATTACATGCAAATATCCCCCACCTGAGCTGCAGCTTTAGTCTCTTCTCAGGTTCCTGCAGCTACAAGTGAAGTCTTGAGGTCCCCTACTCCATTGTTCTGCCTCTGTTTAATCACTCACCATGTTCTCTTTAGACACAGAGCTAAGGACACAGGTATAGCAAATACTTGTTAAATGATTCAGTCATTTATATATTTTTAGCATCACCATTACATTCTGGGCCAATAAGAAGACCTTCAGTCCTATTGTCATTTCTATCCAAAACTATTAAATGTTACCAGGACCAAGAAAGACTGTTGGGCAGGAAAAAAGGGAAAAATGCCACTGGGCTAAAAGTAGAAACTTATGGATATTGTTAAGATAAACACAAAGAAATTCCTGTGTTACTTTTCTCTAGGGTTGCTCCCTTAACCTTTCCGTCTCCAAGTCCAGACTTCAAAGCTCCAAGAAAAAACAAGATACAACAGTGTAGGATTAGCTGCCCAATTTACTTATATTTTAAGAAAGTGTCCAAAAAGGCCAGTTAAGCCTGTCTGACAGCAGTGACAGGTCTCATCGTCAGAAATTTCAAGAATGATTATAGCCTGTGACCTGTGATGGCTCCAAAGGCCATAGGAATTGCCAGGGAACGTCCCTGGTATTTATCTCTCAGGATCACCTTCCCTCTCACTGCTGGGGGAGTCAGTTCTGGACCTGGATGGAAAAGGATTCCCAGTACCCCAGTTAATATAGCTGCTTACATCTGTTATCTGTGCACGTGAGGTTTTATACTAGACCTGAAAATAGAGAGACAGTCACAATTTTGTATTCATGAAATTAGAGACTCATGTAGACCATTCTGCTGTGGCCCGCTCTTCCCCTGCTGTATCAGAGATTCCTTGGTCTGGAGTCAGGGACTCAGGCATGGTGAGGGCGCCAGGAGAGCCGGCAGGGAGTTCCTCATTTCTTATTCCTGCTGCTCCTGCTTCCGTTCCAACTACAAGGAAACTCATGGAAGTATTTTTAGTGCATTTGTGGTACCAGAGCCCCTCACCATTCCCAAGACAAGGCTTGACTTTCCATCCCATACTATAAGCAGAGTCTTGTACTATGGCTCCTCTTAGGAATTACTGCTGGGCAGTAGGTTATTAATAGTAATAGTTCACACCCAGTCCAATTTAAAAGAAACAGATTGTTTCTTTTAAAAAATCTTCTCTGCATTTAAATTACAGGTATTTATAATGTTTCTCCACTTCTTACCTAAACACTGGATATTCCTTCAGGTTAAATGCCCTTCAGCTATATTTTTCTTTGCCTGCTGGATTTTATTCACTCTTCATATCTCAGTGTCATAGGCCCTTTCTAACCCTCACTGAGTTGCTTAGCACCTGGAAAAAGCCCTTCTCACTCGATTGTAATATAATTGTCTGTTAAAAACCTTAACATTTCTTTGGGAGCAGAGGTGGTTTGCATTTATTGTAGTATCTCCAATAAGGCACATGCAGTGGGATGTCAAAGAAGGCTTAAACTGAATGGGAGCACATCCTAACATGCAGGGGTTTTGCAGGCCAGTAGACATGGACCTGTACCAATGTCCGTCTCTTACCAGCTGCATAATGGAAACATTACTTATGAACCCACATGATAAATGGAAATAATCATCTTACCTTCAAGAGTTGTGAAAAGTCAAACACAGTTCCTGGCACAAAGTAGATGCTTAATAAATATACATATTCGCTGGGCGCGGTGGCCCACGCCTGTAATCCCAGCACTTTAGGAGGCTGAGGCGGGTAGATCACCTGAGGTCAGGAGTTCGAGACCAGTGTGGCCAACATAGTGAAATCCCACCTCTATTAAAATACAAAAAAATTAGCTGGGCATGGTGGTGGGCGCCTGTAATCCCACCTACTCAGAACGCTGAGGCAGGAGAATCGCTTGAACCCGGGAGGCAGAGGTTGCAGCGAGCTGAGATCGCACCATTGCACTCCAGCCTGGGCAACAAGAGCAAAACTCCGTCTCTGTCTATGTGTATATGCATATTCATTTGATCATTATACTAAGTTGAGGATTAAAAATTCTTTCCAAAACATTTATGCAAGGCTGTTGATGGATGGTGAGAAGTCTTAATCTAAGTATCAACATATTTTCTGAAATAATTTTGAACACTGTGAGTGGCAGACTGAAAGAAACACAGTATTTGAAGTCAAAAGACTTGGTTTGATTCAAAATTTTGTGACCTTTCCTCCTGGTGAGTGACGTATACACTCATTTATAGCCATTCATGATGTTCAAAGCTATTTGCCTTAACTTGTCCCTGAATATACCTGCTCATTACTAGCACTAACACTTTTAAGTGGAATATCAGTTACTCATTTATAATTGCTTTCTTTCGGTTCCAAGTGTGCTGTGCTCTCCTAAAGTTCCCAAACAGTGAGGGTGCTGCTGTTTAGGGGCAGGGGGTCCCCTTGGAGTTTAGGTTCTGTTTCTGTGGTGCAACAGTGACATCCATTGGCCTGTTATGCTAATTATAGAAGAAACCTGCTTCTCTGCTCTGTGCCTGTTGAATTTTCTGATATAAAGATACAAAGAGAACAAACTGTCTCTGGGCCCAAGTAAGACAAGCTAGTGGTCAACACCTGGTCCCCTGCAGATTGGGCTGGTTTCAGGACCCTTCCCAAGGATACATGTTCTAAGATCAGCACCAGCTGGGTGTTCCCTTCTGGTCATGTGGAGACAGTCCTGGAACTGGTCCTCTCCATGGAGTTCAGTACATTCATTGGGCTGTTGGGAAACCATTGGTTTGGGCTCTAGCCTAAGCCAGGGCAAATCACTTTGCCTCTGGACTTTTCCACATTGATAAAGTGAAGTTGATAGCAATACCTGCTTTGTAGTTACCAAAGTGCTCTTCCATGCATTTTATAATAACTTCCCACAATCCCACAACAATTGTGAAAATTAGGAAAGCACAGATCAGATCTGCTTATCATCCACCGACTATGAGGATGTGAAGCTGAACACCAAATTACAGGGTTTCAAACCTCAAGCCTTGATGACTTATGCTTGCTGCCTTAGTTGGAATTAACGAAATCATTACAGAAATTCCTGCTTCATTTCTGGAAGAGCCCTCAGGGGAGGTTCTAAAAATGGAAAATCAAAGGAAAGGCTATGTGGCTGGATGTGAGAGATTGAGCAATGAGTCAGTATCTTTAAGTAGAAAAAGATTTACATTGCTGGTTTCCATCTCCATAAAGAATATAACAGGAAATAGCAAGACTAAAAATATTTATTTTTGCCTAGTATGTGTCAGATACTCTGTTAAGCATTAAGAATGGAGGATAAACTAGACAAACTGTTTCATACCATCTAGAACCTCATTGTCAAGTGAGGGATACAGAGCAGGAACAGTGAACTATATATAATAGCGTGGTAAGTGTTACATCAAGCATTCCTGCAGCATGCTACCCTTCCAAACCACCTCCCATGTGTGTATGTGTGTGTGTGTTTGTGTGTGTGTGCATGTGCCCGCATGTGTGCTTGGTAGGATCCAACTAGTGACTAATGTAGGTACCCCTGGATGGATAAACAGAATAATAGTGTCAGTTCAACTGGAAGCCAAAACCTCAAACATTTTTCAATATCAAAACCAAGCAGATTGCAAAACTGACACATCAGATACATACCACATACAAAAACAAAACCCAAGGATTCAATTGTACTTTGTATCATTTCGTAGTAAATCTTTTTTTGGAAACAATTAGGGAATTCGTAACTAATTTGTGGTGGATGTAGCAAAACCCAGCACTGACTCACTGGTAAAGTCTTTTCAAAGCACTGTTATGATTAAACCAAAAAAAAAAAAAAAAATGGCTCATCTAAAAATGGATCTCATTTAGATCCCATTCTTCCTTCTCGGTTGGTCCCCTAGCAGGAAAAGCTTGGTTCTGGTGTCCCCTCTGATTAAATGGTCTCATTGGAACCCTCATTGTAAATACTCAAGGCCCATCCTTCAGCCACCTCTCCTCTCCCTCAAAACACTTCCTGATGTGAACTGACTGTTCCTCATTGGAGAGCCTCAAGTGGATGGACCACTCCCCACTTACAGGTGGAACTTTCTGAGGACAGAAGCCAACAGCAAACTCCAGGCACCTTGCCAAGAGGCCAGGCCCCATAACTGAGTTCTTTACTCCCCCACCATCTAGCCATCTGGGCTCCTTTGGAAAAAGTGGAGCCCACAGTTTAAAACATCACTGCTCATATTGGTTATTTGGATTTAGAGCCATACGTTAGACATACTGAGATTTTAGCCTACAATTGTTGGCTCTCTTTGAAATTCTTACGTATGTGTAATAAGCACCAAAGTGTATGTCAGGAATCCAGTGAAGTTACTGTGGGCTTTGAGAAGCCTTTCTTTCCTCCTCTCCTCTCCTCGCCTTGCCTCACCTCACCTCTCCTTTCCATCCTTCC